AAAAAAAAAAAAAAAAAAAAAAAAAAAAAAAAAAAAAAAAAAAAAAAAAAAAAAAACTCTGTATCTTTGACACTAAACATACCAACCTTAATATATACCTATTTCTACCATACATCAAATGACCGAACTTAGTTTCTTGATTGAATCTATGAAATATGGTTGTTAGGAAGGAAATAAACTAAAAAAAAATCTTTATTATAATTAAACAAAATTGTATAGTGCCAATATTTATGTATTACAAATTCAAATTGCAAATACGGGGTATTTCCATTGTACATTTTCAGCAAACTTATTTCTTCTAATTATTATTATTTCTATAATTCTTATAATTATAAGAGTATATAAGAATTACAATTCTTATAATTATTCTTATAATTAATATTATTTCTTCTGAAAACTTGAGCTGTCTTGATTGTTTCTTCATTTTTCTGGGTAAAAACTAACAGTTAGTTAGAAATGAATTAAAGCTATTCAAATAAAATATAAGCTTGTTACCAAAACATTTATTTTTTGTCGCCTTTTCTGACACAAAAATACCAAGCTGAAAATTTTAGATCCTTTCTTGAAATTTGAATTCGCAGTTATTTTGATGGAATTAACTACTCAACAGTCTTTACAGAAATGCGCAACTCATCGAATGCAATACGTTGAACACGCATGACATCATCATTTCTGATCCGATAACCTTATAAAGCAATAAAGTGTTCTCCCAGTAAAATGACCGGTGGTGGTAGAAATATGTATACGACAAGTACTATTTGAAACAAACAAAATTTATATAAAAAATAAAAGAACTGTATATAATTGTTACAAAGAGTCATGAAGTCAAATGTGCAAAAAAGATAAGATGATAAGCTCATTTTCGATGCAAAAGTTCTTAAACGGTCATTTAACTCGTTATGGTATGTTTAGTGTTCACCTACATTTAGTGCAAAATTTCTCGTTATCCCAAAGTTTGGTTAAATCAAAGGTCATTTTATTTTAGTGACACCATAAATTGTGAAGTATGGTCGGGAAATACTTCCATGGTACAACTGACTGCACCAAAATTTGGTGAAAAGACACTAAACTTTGACGGTGACTGTAAACTAAACGATATTTGTTTTCGAAGTTATATTTGTTTTCCTTTACAATTCGGCCTTGGTGTTATCGGGACAACTAGTGCAAGTTGTTTCAAGTATCAATTTATTTGGGTGAATAATGTTTTATTTTCAATAAAGTTCATTTCTTACATGTTGCCTTTTTAAATTTGGTTGGCGGTATAAAATTGTTACAAATATATTTTTTATTTCACAAAATAACCTACTTACTGTAAATAGTTTTTTTTTTTTTTACCGTAAATGACTTTAGCATGCATTTGGGATCCTTAAAATTGTAGAAATTATTGAGTTATGCAAGTATTAACTGAATCTAACATCTTAAAATTAAACTAACTGTTTATTTCAGTATACTATAAAAAGAAAACAAAATAGAACGATGATCGTATATATAAGAAATAATAAAGAGAACGGGCTTCTTAGGTGAAAGTTAAAGTAGTAGTGCTGATCTGTTTGCCAGATTTCCTAAATATGTAAATACCAATCTTTTTTCTTTTAACGCATACATCAATAAAAATTTCCCAATAATTGTGAATTTTCTAATGCTTTCATAAAACCAAAAAAGGAAAACTGAATTTTTTTTTAAAATACCTACTTTTGGTACAATCTCCTACTGATATTTGGAGCTAGTGAATAAACCACAATATGGCAAAATCGAGCACCTTTTTATGCAGCTAGTAAATGAATATCAATTTTTTGTGTAACGTGACTCGGAATTCTTAACTTTTTTGTCGTATAACGGATTTTCACGTACAAACGAGCAATCTTAGGGCTTCAAAAGGCAGGCCTTAAATATACAAATCAATTTGAACAGGCGATGTTTTAAATCACGAATTCTGACATTAAAATGCAAACTCCATACACCTCGAAATTTACATTATTTCAATTTTTCTCATAGAAGTAGCAAATGCAATGTATCACTATTTCAGTTAGTTGGAATGAGAGGAATACCAGTACGCATAAATAACTTTAAAAGATCTATAGAAGGTTATCTTCAGATAAACGAGTTTAACAGTTACGATAACAGTTTTATAACAATTCTTTTTTTTTCTTCAAAAATTCTGCTTTAGTTAACTACTACAGACAACAATTATTAGCACAACCCTCAATGTTGGAGACGTTATAATGTACTGTTTTTGAATAAGCATCCCTTTTTCGACTGTTGTAGATTTTTAATCGTAAAGTTGGAGAGATGGTGTAAGGTAATTTGAAATTCATAATCACATTAGTTTTGATAGGTTAAGTTTAAAATTCGAGTCTTTTATTTGAACTTTTGCATATCTTCCTATAACTCTAGAGCTGACTTACTTAGCACAAAATTATAATTCACTGCAAAAAATAGGTTTCTATGATTATTTTTTATTTATTTCAATATTGATTTTAAAATTTGTAGAGCCTATATTTGTTTACATCTTTTAGGACTTAACTTTCAGTGGCGAATTCAAAAAATTTGAAGTGAATCATTTTAATAGTTTCGAAGCGATAAGTCATCAAAAAAGTCATATTGCTGGAATTCAATATTTCAACAACTATTCAACCGATTCTATTAAGTATTTGGATGCTGTAATTTAAAATGTGCAATTTTGTAGATCTCGCATACCAAAAATTATCATTATTTAATTAAATAATAATAATAAATTGTTATAAAAATATTTCTACGTGGAAAATAATATTTTAATTTATATAAAGACGCATTTACAAAGGGAGCAATAATTAAAATTAATACAATGCAAAATTTAAATGAAATTTAAAAGTGAGAATAAAAAGAACATGAAACCATAACAGGATTACATCAGGGTACACAATGCGTGCATTTATGCTGAGGCTTTCGTATTTTCAACAATTGAATGAGAATTTTTTTTTTTTTTTTAAGCAATGAATGTGAATTTTCATTGATTTTCAAGTATTAAATGTGATCTTTTTATTCATTTTTATTATGCATTTTCAATTTAATAATTCCAGGAAAGAATTATAAATTTATTTTGTTAAACAATAATTCATCGAAAAATAAGAGATCGAAACAGAAGATAATAGAAATGTAGCCAAAGCAAAAATTAAAGAAGAGTGAATTAAAAGGAACTGAAAACTAAATGAACTGTAAACTATATGTACTTAAAACAAAACGAACTTAAAACAAAACGAACTTAAAACAAAATGAATTTAAAACTAAATGAACTAAAACTAAATGAACTGAAACTAAAGAAACTAAAACTAAAGAAACTAAAACTAAAGAAACTAAAAACTACATGAACTTGATGTTTCGCTAAGATTCTTTTAGCAGACAGTTTTTTACTTTCATATTTTTGCACTAAGTTTTACACGATTATAAAACCTACCTAATAAAGCTTTTAAAGAAATATATTTTTTTATAGAGGAATTATATTTTTTATTAATATTTCGTAACACTCCTTAGAAAGTAACAGGCTACATTTAAAACAATAACGGTTGTTGAAGATGCAAAATATCGACCTTATAATATAATAAAAATATAATTTTAATACACGAGGAAAACACTTTAATAGAGCGTCAAGATAGAAAGCACAAAATTTTAATCTGCAGAAATATTTGCCTATGTGCCAGTATAACTGTTACAGAAAATATTAGGACAATATGAAAAATTAATAAATCGAAAATATTTGTACAAATGCATTATATCTAGTACACAAAATAGCTGAACAAATTCTAAATATCTTTTAAAGCATTGTTTCCCAAAGTGTGGTACGCGTACCCCCAGAGGAACGGAAACAGTTTAGGGGGGTACGAGTTCTTATGCGAAATATCTTGCAACAAACGAAAATTTCAAATAAGTTTATTTAAAAACAAAGCTAGCCATGAAAATGTACGATTACTATTTTGATCTGATATTGATTTACAATATTGGCTATTTTTTTTTCAGAGTTAGCATTCAATAATGAGTGGTGTCAACAGCCAGTTGTGATTTTTAACTTTTGTGCAATCTTTATAGTAAAAAATACATTCATTTTTTTATGGGTGGTACACTGCGTTACCGGAAATTTAGATAGGGTACACAAAAGTCATAAGTTTGGGAAACACAAAGGATGTATTAGATGTTCAATTGAAAAATTTACATTTAGCTCCAAATCGTTTTCGTTTCTTTTGTTCGTTTAAAAAAAAAAAAATTCTTATATCTAAAAATCAAGGTATTTTCCTCTAAGAATAACCGACATAAACGATCGCCAACAGTTAAATCGATGTCGCCAATATTTTTCCCGTATAATCTTTCTTCCGAAATCTCAAATTACGACCAAAATCTGCTGTTTGTAAAAAAAAAGAGAAAGGATATGGTTTCTTAATCCGATTAGCTGGTAATGGGCATTAAAAGGTTTTGAGTCAGTTGGGGGGAAAACCCAGAAATGAGATTGATTCATTCTATTTTTCTCTGAATTGAGGATGGACTAAGATTGATACAAATGATTCTTCAATTCTTGAGTGTTTGCATCATTCATCAAGAGACAAAAAGGAAATCACATATTCAACTGGTATTTTAATATAAATCGTTAGAATAAACAAGGAAGAAAGCAATATTATATAATGGAGGGCCTTATTTGTTTTTGAATAGAGTAGTCAGGAAATAAAAAAGAGGAAATTCAAGAATGAATAATATCAAATATCGTATTCGATCACGTAAATAGGAATCACGATGCATAATTTTTAAATCGTGTGAATACGAATCGCTTATAGGGTTTTAAAAACGGGTAAAT